ATGTACACGTGTGAGAGACGAACAATTATTAATAACCTAGGGAAGGAAAAACCACATCTTCAATGTAATCGACTTAGTTAATGCTACCTAAGACAGATTTTAAAATCCCCCCCTCTCACCCAAAACCTAAAGTCCAAAACAAACTTGCAAGGGAAAAGGGACAGTGCTGTCAAATTGCATATATTCTATGTGGGAAGTAATCTAACTATATACAAGCATACTCTCGTGGGTACAGCTCGTCCATGGCGGCGAGCTTGGTCCTCTTTGCTTCAACGGCGTTCAGGGATACAGAAATTCTATGCTGCTGTTGGCATCGACTTTGGTGGCCATCTCACCCGCCGTTCTGCGCGTACGTACAGATTGTTGGGCCTGATCAGCTGGAACATGGGGTCATACTCAATAGGCCCGTTGTCCTCTAAGGAGAACTTATAGCGGTAAACCAATTTTGGCAAGAAGACCTTGACCTCTTGGAGTGCAAAGTTGAACCCAATACACATGCGCGGGCCCGTTGCAAAAGGAATATATGCCGCCTTGTGCCTGGACTTTACCTCCTCGGTATCCCAGCGGTCAGGGTTGAATCGAGCAGGGTTGTCCCAAAGATCAGGATGGTTGTGAATATGGTGCAGTGCGGGTACTATAACTGACTCTTTTGGCAGCCTGTACCCTCCAGGCAAGACAAGGTCAACCTTTGCTGTTCGACCCGGCTGGAAGGATGGATTGTGGCGGCGTTGCGTTTCTTTGATATATTTATCAAGGAACTCCAATTCGTCGGTGAAATCAGCCGTAATCTCGGTATTTTCGTCAAATCCATGATCTACTAGTTCTTGGAGAAGGCGTTCTTGCATGCCTGGGTACACACAGAGACCGTAAATGAGCCAGGATAGGAGAGAGCTGGTCGTAGTGAATCCAGCGCCAGTGGCAACAACTAGTGCCCAGGTTAGACTTGACTTTGGCAGCTTCTCGCCCTTGTTATCGGTCGCACGAACGGCATAGTCTGCTATGGATCAGCTTTCTCCTATCTCTTGGACATGCTACTAGGAATCAAGGATTATACATACCAACCATGTTGTCTGCTTTCAAGGCAGCATCCTGCAAAGGCAAATCCTCGTGGCCTCCCCGCGAAGCCGCCTCCATTGACTGCGCAACCATGTCCTCGATGCTGGTTTTCAAGCTTCGGAGTCGTTTTGGGTCGCCAAATGGCAATCCAGCATACCAATTACCCATAGATGTAACTTTCTTATTGAGAGAAAGCAATTCAGCAATGTTATGGACCATCTCATGAACTGGAGCATCCGGTGCTTCAAAATGCTGAAAGTCGAGCCCTAGAACGAGCTTTCCAACCGCCTGAGAACCCAGCTTGAGCATGTACTGGTACACGTTCCAAGCCTCGTCCTGTTTATCCAGCGCGTCAAAAACCTTGAACGAGTCTTCGACTGTCTTCTGCATCGTTGGGGCGTAGTGTCGGACCGCCTTCGGGCCCAAGGCAGGAGGCAAGAACTTGTGAGCGACTCTCCATTCTTCGGTATCAGTGTCTCCAAGGAAAATGCCAGCAGAGGGGGTCTTAAGCCCCGCCAAGGGGTGCGCTTCATTGATCTTCTTGGTAAAGAAATCTGACTCGGCAAAAGCAATCGCTGCTATTCTTGGATCATTGGTCTGGTAGGTCACACGACCTAGGTTATTTGTTTTCACAATGGGGCCATATCGCTCAAAGAGTCGCTGGTGGTTTCCGAGATGGTCGGGGTAAACTTCGAAAAAGGTGCCGACGAAAGGTAATTCCCTGGGACAGGGAGGGTCGCGCACGGCGTGTCCGTCGATTGTGAGGGGCACAGGACCAGGTGCTGCCAGCACCTCTGAGAGCTCATTCAGGACAGCTTTGTCCCCTTGGAAGCCAATTCCTACGTATTGAACGTCAGTAAAAGAACGAACTATTGCGAGGATGACGCTACCGCCACAGTAACCAGGCTGGTATGAATTTAGCCTGGCCGCTGTGGCGGTAGCCCTGCGGCAGGGGCTACCAACCACTTGGCTCAACGATTGCAAAGTGTGCGGCAATCAAATGTTTCAAATCATCAACATTTGCGGAAGAATCAAACTGAATTTCCCTTGCAGATGATGGGCTTTCCCCAAGAAGATAGAATGTTTGCGAAGGCATTGTTGATATTGTGGTTGTCCGGCTGATGTTCTACAAATACGAGTCTTGCATAGCATGATGACACTTATATATCTTCGCAACGGCAAGGCATCCCGCAGACATCCTGATGCTCGGTCAATTTCTGCTCGACCCACATACAATCCAAGTCCTTAAGCAGTAGTGCAGATGTGCTGTAAAGGTTCGCATATCGCATGGCATGATTGTTCCTCGGAAGGGTCTGTCACCATCCGAGGTTCGGAGCTGATGGACGGATGAATGACCCAGACCGGCAAGCTCTTCCTCGGAATGGTGAACGCCAACTAGTTTGGTAGTATCCACACTGACAGTTTATGTTTTGCAAAGGTGGAATTAGGTATGTTTCAGAAGTATTCGCATACAAATAGAGCCGCAGGTCATCACTCTTAAAGCGCATCCAACTTGCTGTCCAGCGCTAGAAGCATTTACTTCCGCACACGCCCGTCACCAAGTTTGTCACAATCTGAACATTGCAATCACCACGATGAAGACATTCTCTTTGGAGGAGGTTGGCTCACACAATAGCAAGACCGATTTGTGGATTGCTATCCATGGAAAAGGTGGGTGTTCAAATTATCTGAACATTCGTGCTGTCAGCACACTAATGTGCTGAGCTTAGTGTACGATGTCACAAGCTACGTAAAGGATCATCCTGGCGGTGCCGATCTCCTGATTGATGTTGCTGGCCAAGATGCGACGGCGGCGTATGAAGACGTGGGTCATTCAGAGGATGCAAATGAGATTCTGGAATCCTTCCTGATCGGGACATTGAAAGATGCGGTGGAATACAAGGCTCCTACAGCTGTTAGACTTATCCAGCCAACATCGGTGTCATCACCTGCAAAGAAGGATAGTTACGATACTACTCGTACTGTTGGCCTCACTGTTGGCTCGGTTGCCTCGCTTTATCTTGCGTCCAAAGCTTTCAGACCACAGCTCAGCCTTCATCATCTAGCTGAGCTTCTTCCCAGCCCGCCGTCCCTGTCATCAATCAGGTTGTCTTCATCCCTACCTCATGGAGGCTTTGCTACTGGAGCAGCCGCCACAGCCTGTATCTGTGCTGTACTAGGCGGCATGGTGGCTTCCCGCCTTTCGAAGCTCACGGAGATTGAGTCGGGTTTCACGAAATACCCACCTCGCATCAAAAGAAAGACTATACACAGGCCAGACCCTCACCTCGTCCCTGGATTCCTTCAACCGAAAGAATTCAAGAGCTTACCACTCGTGGAAAAGACACTGCTCGCCCCCAACGTCTATCGATTTGTCTTTCAGCTTCCTCGCAAGGGGGATGTAGTTGGTCTGCCTATCGGGCAACACGTCGCCATCAAAGCAACCGTCAACGGTCAATCCGTTTCGCGATCATACACCCCGACGTCAAACAATCTTGACTTGGGTAGATTGGAGTTGGTTATCAAGTGTTACCCCGATGGCTTGCTCACAGGTCAGTACCTTGCCAACCTCAATGTTGGTGACAAAGTCCTCTTCCGTGGGCCCAAAGGCGCGATGCGATACAAGAGGAATCTCTGCAAAAAGATCGGCATGATAGCTGGGGGCACAGGGATCACACCTATGTTCCAGCTTATTCGCGCAATCTGTGAAGACGACAAGGATACAACCGAGATCTCTCTTGTTTACGCCAACCGTACGGAAGATGATATTCTCCTGCGAACAGAGCTGGAAGCATTTGCATCTGCGTATCCAAGATCGTTGAAGATCTGGTACATGTTGGATAACCCTCCGAATGACTGGAAGTACGGCAAGGGCTACGTGACGCCCGATGTGATGCGTGAAAAGCTCCCTGAGCCTGGCCCGGACACTAGGATCATGCTTTGTGGTCCTCCTGGCATGGTCAACGCTGCCAAGAAAGGATTGACTGGTCTAGGATTCCAAACCCCAGGAGCGGTGGCGAAAATGACGGATCAAATCTTCTCTTTTTAGAACGCTTTCTAGCACTTGGCCTGTATTTGTGCCCATTAGACATATGGATATAGACTCTATTTAGATCATACAATTCATTCGGCTTCCCTCAGACATGAGATTAAACCCGCTCGTCAGTTCAAATTCTCACTGACAGAGGCTTTTGGTTTTGATGATTCATTATTAGATTAGAATCATTTTAACCCTGTATAAACAAAGCCACGGCCGACTCTGCTCGAGCGTGCGGCAAGAATGTAACAGGAACTCGATTTACCCAATTCCCACACCCGGAGAAGTTGTCTTAGTGAAGCATTGATGACACAGTAGTGCAAAAATCAGACTAGCTTGAACGTTCAGCCTTACCGTAACAAGTAGGAGTATGCGTGTACCTTTTCCTTAAAGGTGCCCACTTACCTTGGTTGAAATGCTCCGAGGTGAAAAGTGTCGGCATGCCGAGCACCCCCGAATTAGATCCGTCCCCGCCAATCGGAACGCAGAAGCCGGGACGTCTTTCCGAGGTAAGCCTCCCGTCTGGACCCGCCGCAGCGGTGATGTTATCGAGGATGGATAAACGAAAGCGTAGCACCATGGAACATCCAGGTGCATCAATGCATCAATTCGAAACAGCGATGTTTAAAAGATCCGAGGATACGCAAAGCTGCCCTATCAAGGAACACCCTCGGCGGTGCAGAAGCCACGGATGACTCGGGACTCACTTGATGGATGTAGAACCAGACATCGCCATTCTTGGAGAAGGGGTGGATTCGGTGATCCATCAGATTTGCTTTAAAATATGGAAGTGCCCTTTCTATAGGTTACGGCGAGCTCTCTAGAAATACACTAATTTCTAACTTCACATCCAACTTCAATCGACACGTCAAACCAAGAGGACAATACTCCAACCATACCTGCAACAATGACTCCAACCTGGCAATTACCTATGGACTACCGCGAACGTCCTGTAGCAGTTCTCGGTGGTGGGGTTTTGGGCCGTCGTATTGGTAGAAGATCCCGACCACCAGGTTGACAAACAATGCATGACACAGCTAACCAACTTTCCAGCCTGCATCTGGGCATCAGCAGGTTACAACGTCCACGTCCGTGACCCGAGCCCCCAGCAACGCGCAGACTGCATCACCTACGTAAATGAGAATGTCGCCTCATATGCTGCACACACAGGAGCGAGCCCCGGCCCTATCACAGCATTCGAGGAGTTGGCGGCGGCAATAGAGAACGCGTGGCTCGTCATAGAGTGCGTTCCTGAGGTCCTCCAACTCAAGATCGACACCTTCGCAGAGCTAGAGAAACATGCTCCGACGGACTGCATTCTGGCAACCAACTCATCCTCATATCGCTCCTCAGAAATGCTGGATAAGGTATCAGTCGCAACGAAGACGCGTATCATGAACATACATTACTACATGCCTCCACAGGTCATGGTTGTGGAACTGATGACGGATGGATTCACAGAGCCATCAATTCTTCATTTCATGGCTGAGCGCTCGAAAGAAGTGGCGACCAAGCCTTATATTGCGAGGAAGGAATCTACTGGGTTTATATTCAACCGTTTGTGGGCTGCTGTTAAGCGCGAAGCTCTTACCATTCTGGCTGAAGATGTTTCGACGCCGAGCGAGATTGACTCACTATGGACTGAGATGTTTGTGAAGGGAGGGACACTGCCTTGCAAGATGATGGATGGTATGCCTTACCCTGTACACTACTAACTCTACAGTTTGTGCTGATTATTTTATTGCTACAGCTGTTGGACTTGACACCGTGGCTTTCATCGAAAGGCACTATGTCGCTGAACGAGGTCTCGATTCTGAGAAGACCGTCGATTTTCTCCAAACGAACTATCTTGACCATGGCAAACTTGGGAATAAATCATCCAAGGGGGGGCTTTATCCGCCCGCGGAAGAGAAATAAGCTGCAACTGTTGTTATTAGTCTCGCTGGCTAGATCTAGAGTATTTGACCTCAAGTTGTGATATTAATTTGTGCTTCTATAGCTGGAATTTAGCGAGTATAGATGCTATGAATAATACCCTAACTCCATAGTGGATAGTTTAACTAAGGTATCTTATCAATTAGTCAGTGTGGCCGAGTGGTTAAGGCGTCAGACTCGAAATCTGATACGTTCGCGTGCTCGCTCGCTGACGAGTAATATTTTGTTTTTGTCTTGTTTTGTTTTTTTCTTTCCGCAAATCACCTTACTGTTCATCAACTTGAATGCTTTCAGTTGAGTCATTATTATGTTCCGGCTTCATTCTCATTTTTGCGAGTGATGAGGTGGAACCAGTAATACTACTTGACATTTCCGTGCCCCAACTACCTGAAACTCTACATATGCTTGCCAGTAAGCACATGGCCGATAACCACTGGACTCGCTTCATGAGGATCAATGACCAACTATCCCACAACTAACTTTTACCTCCACTAACTCTAGACTCCTTCCTCAACTCCCCGATAGACCCCGTCCCTTTCCATACGTATCCGCATACCTACGCATGATTACCCAGGCGCAACATATTTCTTTTTCAGTGAGTGTATATCTAGCGCTAAAAGAGAGTCGAATACTATGTGTTGTTGTATACGTAAGTGTGGAATTCATAAAGCTGAAGGTCTGCAAGTTTGGCTCAGTATTGAATGCTCCCAGCCAGAAAGATGGATGGATGGATGCACAGCGTGTTTCGTCGATGGGCAATCGAGGTGGCTCGACTCCGTACGGAGTTCTGAAAATTTGCAATCAGTACTCTGTAGATACCGGAATGCAAAAATCTCAGTTGAAGTGAGTCTATTGGCCTACGCTCGCCACTCCCTTAAGTATTCCCTACTTCCCTACTGCATGTCATGACTCGGGTATCTGATCGTCGGGATTTGACCTAGGACATGCCCGAATGCTCATCTTTGGGGCCTATGTGCATAAGGTGTGGATTTCAGCTGAACTCTACACATCTCGCCGTTATCTCCTGTCCGACATCGGTCGCACCCTATCTTATCATCTATGGAGTGCCTCATGCAAACCACACAAGTACCTTATCATATTATGGGCAAACAGCTATAGTCTTACCACCCAGGTGAAGGCAAGACACCCTGCTCACTGCTGCCTTGTGAAGATGAATTTATGCATCGTGTTGGGCTCTTATGGCATGCATACCTTGTGCCCAAGGCAGGGCTTTCCGATCGGGCAAAAAAAAAAAAAAAAAAAAAAGTCCTACAACGGACCCGGTACATTGAGGATACTGGGCGAACAACAAAATTCCCAAATCTGATATGATACTACCTTTGATCGACAACGGAGGCACTGATTAGAGAAGCTTGATTTCTACTCCTATTACCATACATTTTTAAGAAAGTTTGAGGACACCTGCAAACGAGAAGGCTTAACTGTGACTAGAGCTCGGGCTTGATTGCATCGTTTCACCCTACTAAAGATCACCCATCCTCAACACTATGAATAGGCCGCAATGGCCTTCTTGAACGCAGCCGAAATTTCATTCAGAATCAATGGCGCCAAATCCGCATACGTCCCTGACAACTTGTCCTGTACCGCTGACCCCAGCGCCTTCGATAGAATGCTCAACTCTTGCAGATCAAACTTGACCAGGAAACTCAACGACGCGATGCCCAACAACCCATCGTCAAAATCAGACTTTTTCGACACAATGTTGGCCAGTGTAGATGCGATCTGTGGCTCCAGCGTAACGAAAGCTTCCGCTACCTTCTGCGATTCGGCGTCGGTGAAATTGGCAGACTGCCGGGTCACTTTGATTGCGGTCTTTAGATCGACTTCGAGCTGGATTGTTTCCGCTTGGATTTGCAATGCAGATAATGTTCCTTCAATGCCGCCCGGGTAGTTGCTCACGGTGGTGTTGAGGGTAACCAGTTGGGAAGAAATGGTGTTGACGGCAGAGACGACGCTGGAGCCATCTCGCTTGCTTGGTAAGAGTACTTTCGCCGGTGTTGCTGTAGCTATTGCTACTGTGGCTGTGAAAAGTAACGTGAGGAGGTACAAGAAGTTCATGTTTGTGGGTGGTGCTCACTTGGCAACTACAGAATGACCCAGTCAGACGCCCATGCATTTGATTTATACACCGGTTTGATAATGACTCGATCACCTCATTCTAACCCCGCTTCTTAGCGGCCAGCCTTCTCCGATCGATGTTACATTCAGCCTGTACAGCTAATTTACTGGTGCTGACTCCCATAGTCCCCGCATGACGCTATCGTTGCTTCTACGAATCAAGCTGATTGATGATCTTCGAAATTGCCTCAACAGGAATAGTGGCCCGGTCCCTTAATTACATTTGCAGCTGGACGGGCTGCATTTCTCCCTTGTAGCTCAGATATATATTAACTATCTAATCTAACAGGCTCATGTTCCTTGCAATGGTTGGTGCTAAGTCAAGCCACCGTGTGATAGCATGTGCTTCCGAGGCCTAAAGGACCCTGATATTCATCACTCAGCCCGCCACGAATTTTCCAAGCATGTGACTCTCAATGAGCAAAACAATTACAGTTTGCAAAATGATTATCTTAGCGATCTCTATAGAATACCCGCTTTATTCTATCCACTGCGGAAGTTGTTCCGATGGTATAAGTAGTTGTCTGAATAGGTTCCAGCGTACCAACAATTCTACCCTTCTCTTTCATACCTTTCATCATCCACCAGTATTATTACTCTTCCATTCGCTACAAAGCTATCTTGCGACTATCCAGTGTTTGCATAGAAACAATAAAGACACAAAAGGCAGAGAACGTCTTTTCATTGTAGAGTAATTCGGAGATGAGCTTCACTGGGATCATCATTGAGCTTTACCCTGTCCATTACACTTTGTCTCACAATTATTGGAGGCGAAGATGCTCAAGTGCATGCAAATATCGACAGGCCTTTCTAAAATACGCTTGAGAACTAGTTAAAATTTAGAAGATGGTTGTCGACCGTTCAACGGCCGCCAAACGAAGTATTTGCCTGATCACTAGGTCAGGATTAGATATTAGCAAGTTTTCATTATATTACTAAATCATAATGCGATATGTTTCATCTAGGAATATAAACATAGATAACCTATATTGTTTGCACATTAGGATGATATCCATTGATATGCACAGTAACATGTACCTGATGTAACCAATTATTGATTGTATACTGCTGAGTAAACGCATTATGCCTGTTTGAGTGGTCACTCGATCCCTGGATAACCAAGTATGTAAAAGTGCTCATCCAAAGTAAGACAATACGCGAGCGCCTCAGGTACGCCCGGATTCTATTTCTCCATTCCTCTCTTCATTCTTCTCCTTATCCCTCCTTCATGCCATAACACCTAACTCACACAGAAAAAAAACACGAAGTAGGTAATAGAACAATATACTGCAGCATAGAAGGCTCGTCACCACACTTATACACCCAACTACTGTAGTATACAGCACAACGCAAGGCGAAGCACAGTTATATAGATTGTAGAAAAATGAACGAGTGGGGCAGCTGGCTAGTTAACTGCCTACACAGCTTGTCGATGCGCAATTTTGGTAGCACTCGAGGGGAGCTCCCATGTTAGTGTCGATCGATCGATTGCACTACATTAGTTTCCTAGGTACGTATGCAAAGCTAGAGTGGAATCATTGTACCAACCTGTCGACACCCGGGATCTAGTTAGTTACTCGGTTATCAGTCATCCCCTATAATTCTTTCCTCTCTCTGTGTAAGTTTTCCACTCAAATAACGCCAATACTGTTAAGCGCTGAACTGCTTTCAAGACCAAGTGTACGTATTTCCTCAAGACATACCAGGAGAAAAGGAACACTTTCACAGAGCTGAATAAATACACTAATAAAGCCATGGATATGCAGTAGTTAGTAGATAACGTTGTCGACTTATATTATCTTGTAAGTAAAGCATCCACTATGGGTGGTTGATAAGTAACAGGAGACTGACCAAATTCAAACATTGGAACTGTGAACCAACTTACTGATAAGGTCTGTTTGGGTAGAACACACTACAAGCGCGTGGGTGGCGTTTTCCAGAGGCTTGCACGGGTCAGTGGTTCGACTGGGCCTTACCCCTTCATTAATGGACACGATTGATCTTCATTAGCCTCGAATAGTTCCAATGTATGTGTGATGATATTATGCCAAAGTTCTCTTTCTAAGATAGAGAGTGTTCAAGTCTGTGTGTTCCAGGATACCTATTGGCAAGCTTTCTCTACCTTCATCCCTGCGCTAGCCCCAGGCAGCTACAACGAGATGCCTCCCTAATATACGCATTGGCGATCGCGATATAGACTGTCCTCAACACTAAACTACCACATACGACCATAGGGTGTGGAAAACAGGGCTTCCCGTCCGCTCAGCCGTACTTAAGCCACACGCCGGGAGGTTAGTAGTTGGGTGGGTGACCACCAGCGAATCCCTTCTGTTGTATGTTTTTTTAGTTTTTTTTTCTTGCTTATTCGCTCCTCTTTGTGCAGCGCTTTTAACGAGCTATAAACATCATTGAAGTTCTTGGTTTGTCTGGGGGATGTGGTTGGATCAATCGCACGAATCAGTCCTCACATCTCTCTGCTTCTATACAAACGCGGGTGACCCGTTGGCAGCTGAGAAGGATAGCCGGCTTCAACGATAGATTAAATACTTGACCCCGCAAGAGACATGATCACAAAAATCCGAATTATAAGACAGAAGATACAATTATGAAGTCTAACATACACAATGGTTCTATCTAGCTTGGGTATTGCGGTCATATCTCCGTTTCCGAGATGTCTTCCCACTCATTTCTTTGATACACAACGACGTGAACACTCATCCAGTTTCTACCAACGCTACCCGGGGCATGATTTAGCTATAAATATCAGCATTGTATTCTGTTCTCCATAAAATCTGCACTGAAAGGGTAGTTCGTGTAGCCATTCTCTTGCATGGGCGTATAGAAACTCTCTCAATGGTAGGGATTAACAGGGATACTATGATAAATGCGAAATGGCAAGTCGTGATTGGCGATAAAGTGCTGCCTAAAAGCAATTGTCACCAGATGATCTTTGTATTCTTCTCCCATGGATGTTTCAGCGTCCTCTGGTCTATATCCACCGGCAACAATGACAGGCGTCGACATTGCCCAAATATCGAGTAGGAATTGGATACTGCCCTCCTTTGCACAGTCCACTCTATCGATAGCACGAGACTCAATAACATGGAGATAAGCCAGTTTGGGCAGTTGCAGGCGCTCCACAAAGTAGGCGAATTGAGGCACTGGGTCGACCATCTTCATGCTCTGCCATGTGTTCCAAGGAATAACGCGAAAACCAACACGCTCAGCACCGATAGCATCGGCTACTGCTTTGGCGACCTCCAAGCCGAATCGCGCTCTATTGGGGATACTGCCACCCCACTGGTCGTTTCTGTTATTCGAAACGTCTTGGAGGAACTGGTCGACCAAGTACCCATTAGCCCCGTGGATCTCAACGCCGCCAAAACCAGCACGAATAGCGTTTTTCGCGGCTGTTGCGAAGTCACCAATAATCTGTTGCACCTCATTCTCTTCCGGCTGTTTGGGAATCGGCATCCCGGGCTCAATGAGAATCGGACTAGGAGCATGCAGAACATAGCCACCGTCTGCTTGCAATTGTGCCGGGTCAGCGGCTCTGTCGACAGCAATTAGCTGACAGAAATGAAACTTCGTTTTTTATGTACCGCTTCGGTGATCAGTCTGTTTTCTTTTTTTTTGTCTATTATATTATCTTATCCGTATGTCTTGACTAGAATACATGAAAGGGCTTGGGTGGGGATTTTTTACTGAGTCTTGAGCAACTGGTTCAACAACAAAGATATTGATCACCATGAAGCTTTTTAGACGCTACGTTAGTCCAACTGGGAACCATCTATTAGGGACAATCATGGTATTGGTAAATACTCCAACCACGCTGAATTTATATGACTAAGTATATGAAAGAGAGCTAGATCTCTAGATTATAAATATACGCTTCTTATATCTTTATTTAATTTCTTCAATTTATATAGCCAGTTAAATCAGATAGCTTGATACAGAAAGGTAGTTATAAAATCTAGAATAGAAGAATGTATGAAAGCAATAATCTATTAAGGGCCTTTCCGCCTGGTTCCTCTACACCACAGACCAATTTCATGCCTTTTCTGTCTTCTTAGGCCGACCTGGGCGTTTAGGATCGCAACCGTGCTTGCGCGTTTCATGTCTGTTTCGACCATTGCTCTTTTTATATGTCCTAGAACAATACCCACACTGGAATCTCTGCGCGGGAATAGTTGGGGGCGACTCCGGCGATGCTCGTTGCCGGTATCGGAGGTGCCTAGACGTATGGTTAACGCTGGAAAAGAGAAAAAAGGAAGGAGGGGGGGGGGGGGGGGTAGCGGCTTAAATCTCTCGGACATACGATAGGTCCTGGCTTTGCTTCACATCATCAAAACCATTGACTGGAGACCGGGATGAGGAAATTAAGCTCTGGGGCGAAAGGAACCACGGAGATCCAGGATATCCAGATCCTATTAATGGAATTGAGGGGGAGGGCCACAATCCCTGTGCCCCTGATAGTTGGGAACCTTCCGCCTCGACCGAATTAGTGATTTCTTCTTCTGCGAGCTAGTTTCGATATCAGGCTTACCGTACAAGCTCCACGGATTTTCGACAAATTCAGAGTTATTGGGAGGATTGGCTGAATAGGTACCACACTGGTTACTTGGGATTGCCTGGATATCTGAAAGGAGGTCCCATGAATTCATGGTCGACGTATTGTATATCTGGTTGTTATAGTAATCACCGTCATATTCAAGCCCAGTCTGAGCTTCACCTCTGACCATCCTCAACGTTAGCTATCTATTAATCACCCCGGCGAGTAAATCACGTCGGGGTCACGTCCAGCAGGAATTCTAAAAGATCTTCCTGGCGGGGAAAAGCTTCTATGGCTGTAAAAAGCCACAGGACGGGCGGAGATTAAGCACATTGTGCATAAGGCTAAAATGCGTGATAGTGACACAGTCATGTATTCTCAGAGAAGTCTCCCGTCCTGTCCATAAAATCATACCAGTTTCCTTCCCTAGGTATGTGGCTTTCTCCCCGACTTTGCACGCTAGCCTCGTTGTCCTTATGCCGACTATTTTTTTTCTTTTTCGACTTCTCTGAGTAGGACATTTACAGCCAGGGGTATTACACCCAGCTGCCTCCAATACGCTGCGACCTGGTGGGAAGATTGAGAGTTCTCGTCGGCACGTTTGTAGTCTGTATACCTACTTTGGTCGGGGACGGTATCAAATTATCTAGTGTCTAGTATATAAATCTCAGTTCACAGGCTCACTCACGAAGTTGCTACATCCCGCGGAAATTCCTGCCCAGAGAAGGAATTTGATGCCAGGACATCCTCATTTTGGGGACTTGTATCAAAAGACGACTGAGGTTCCATAGTATAAGGTATAGGATATCGATAAATCAAGTTGAACAGGTGTGAAAACAAACAAAGTCAAGGCTTGTCGGGAGGCATGGGAAAGGAATCAGGATACAGAATGGTGGAAATATTAAGGGAAGACTGGCCCTATTTATCATGGCTCGGTAGAACTTGCTAGAATAAAATTGTGGAATGGGCTGTACCTAGGTAGTAGGCGCAGCCATAATAGCGCGAATTCTCATTGGGGAACAAATCGTGAGGTCTGCGGTCAAAGCGTCCATGACGTCCGAAGACAAGCTCAGGACGCCCCTGATTGGCTAAATGGCTCAGTTATGACCAGCCTTGGGCGAATGATAATTTGAACATATCTCGAACAGCCTCAGCCTCGCCAGGAGGATGTGCACGTATCCCTAGTGGAGAGTATCGTGTGACTAGATTGACTTACTTACTGGCTCATTTTCCAGATTTGGCTCATTTTCCAGATTTGGCTCATTTTCTAGATTTGGCTCATTTTCCAGATTTCTGGCTCATTTTCCAGAATGGGTATTTTCTTGATAGACAAGGGTATCACATTTGAGAATCAGAGAGAAACTGAAAGATGATATCTATCTTGATGAAAGTGGACATATAAGAACCCCCTCTACCTTCATATCTCTTGCTTCCATCTCTTCTTCACCTCCCACGCTTTTCCTGGCCTTCCATCAAACAACATACTGTAAGTAGCATGTCTAAGTGCCAGCACCCTTAATATTCTAACCACAGACCTGGGCAGCCCCCTCTGTCGATAACAAACAAACAACACAAGATGGCAGACCGAGTTCCTCGGCTTTTCAACCATGCGCCTCATTGTTGCGATGTGAAGATGAATAGACGACAAACACAGTCCAATAGCAAGGGAAATACCAGAAGATGGTACTATACATGCGTCGTAGGCTGCCGTCGCATGATCTTTGATGACTGGGAAGGCATTAGGGATGGAAATCCCTTGTGCTGGTGCCGTCATCTCTCCCGCGGACAGGTCGAGCGAGAAAATTTCTATATTTATCGATGTGCTAGGGGTATATGTGACTTTAAGGAGAATGAGAAGGATGTCTGGCTGTAATAACTCGACAGAGTACTCGCTATCTTTTCAAAGCCCCATGCTGGTTAACTGAGATATTTATTGGAGCACGGATCTCATATACACATTATCACTACCAAGTCTAACACCGGGCCAGTCTCTACTAGAAGCTACCGTCTATCATATGATTAAAATCGAAGTAGTCTCCTTAGACTCAGAGTAGAAAAGGAACTGAAAAGAAAGAAAAAAGAAAATGAGCATGATAAAAAATTTACTAGACAAGTAAGCTATTAATATAGAAATAGCTGCTCACCCTCATCATATTACCCCTCTTATCATCTCACCCCATATGATTGAAAGCATTAGTAACAGCCAAATAATATTTCCAGCCCTCAACTTGTTCTTCGCTCCATATCCCGGGCGCGTGAGGAAGTCCGCTGGCTGATGGTGAGATCATTGTTGCTTCTGCTATGATCATGGTGTCTGGGACTGAAGCACGTTGCTCATAATAGGTTGTGGCCATAGGAAGTGGGACATGTTGCGAATCCGCGCAAACGAGTAGGTGGTGCCATTACGACTCGATGGTCGAGATTGATTTTGCCGACCTGACGGGGCTGGAAAAGTTTGAGGGACATGTTGACTGTCTTGAACGTAAATCAGTCGTGCCGTCTCAATCCTAACACTAACGAAGTCGGTAGATAATTGGGATGTATTGAATTGGAAATGGTGTTTCTGTAGACTTGCGTTGATTTTCGCTATATATGTAGAAATTGCAATTGGGGATGGTGGAGAAAACTCTGTTGTCTCCAACAACACCTCCACGCGAATTCTTTCGACTTAGATCTAGTGATCGTAGCTGATAAATCAAGGTCTAATGATAGAATGGGGCTGCTATGTTCACTCGCACATGGATTAACTGGATCATGAGTCTTTTTTGGGGTTGTTGTAAAAGCTGATATAGTTTTGAATACAACTCCGAAGCTATTTCAATTGATATCGAATACATTTTCGAGAATCATCTACTGGCATCATAAAACCATGTGCTCCAAAGATTTTCGTAATCCATCTTTACCGCAGTTCTCTCACGGCTTAGCAAACTGATTTGTCTGATATCAGGCATACTTTGCCCCTACTATTATAAAGCATTGCTAAGTTTTCATTGGCCTTTACGTGCCGAAAGTCTCAAGAAGGGTTTCGTGAACCATTAGATAAAGAGAGCCACCTGGTTCGGGCCCACATCTTTGGAGGTGATTATGAATTGTCTATATCCGCAGGTATGACATGCTCATGGAGACGGAAAATAGACCATTGAAGTGCTACCTGGTGCCTAGGTGCGTGATAATTTGTTTTTAACTGATCTAGGACCGATCCAATGTTGGGACTATCCCCTCAGAATGGTGTCTAAGATGGTTGGTCTCTCCCCATCATCGTTTTGGCCTTATGCCAACAATCGCAATCAACTCGTGTAGAATATGCCATTTTGAGAAGTTCCAACAAGTCTTCCTTTGATGATATCATTAGAATTTTAGACTTGCCCGGGTGGAAACGGCGACTTATGGAAGCTAACAAGCGGATCAATATCAAAACTTCTATCTCCAAGCATCTCCACTAGCACCTCCACGAGCACCTCCACAGAGAGATATCAGCTCATAGTTATATAATTCTATTGACTAATCAAGCTCTTTAAGGTGATAAACAATATTCCTGAGTTGAAGCAGTATCAAGCATCTAATCCGTAGGGTAATGGTCCTCATTCACAAATTGACGACCTCTGCTCGCAAGTAGGTCGGATTCTGCCATTGTCTATTCGCTCCATATGCTCTCAGCCCGACTAAATGCCTGTCTCATGAATACGCGACAGCTTCCTCGGCCAGACTTTGCGAGTAATTCACAGACCATGCTGGTTGGCGTACGCCGAAGTGTAAGAGCGTCGGGGAGATACCGTGGTTATCTACCCCCTACCGCTCCAGAACCAGAATGGTGCGTGTTCCTGTAGTTACCCGCTTGTCATCCGCACTATGCGGGGAGTGTCTTTGCTGCGAGTGTGAGCAAACTTAAAATTCCTTGAAGGGAATTGAATAAAGCAAGGGCTGGAACCCCTTGGGATAAGAAACCTACCATTCAGTGGTCTTCTGGTCTGGCAGTCGGCGATACAAAATAGCCATTTACTGAGAGAAAAACCGCAAACACTAGTCCACAATGTGAGTGTTGTACGCTCCAGACGAACGCATGGCTTCGAGCGACAAAGTTTACCCCTAATTTGACAGGGATGCTGAGGGCATGCGTCTCATGTAAAATTGCTGGGAGAAGATGGGGACCGGGTGGCAAACGAGGTATGTGTAGCAGTCGCTTTGCTATGTCTGTAGCGTCGTGGGACTGGAGAATTCTATATGAGCCCAAATCAAGGCCAAGTCGAATATACGCAATACCCAGCAGAGCAGTTGAAGTGTATGTCACAGGGCCATTTGGATTTCGGGGGTCCAAGCTCGATTCAGGTGCTCGTTGCCATAGAGATGTCCATGCATGAAGAGAATCACTAGCGGGAAGGTGAACAAGTTAGCAGATCGGCCGAGATATTTATTGAACAGATGGTATATCACATACCGCATGACGCTCCTTTGCCCATTGAGTATGATATTATTCGCATCGTTATTTGGACCAAATGTATGATATACGAGTAAGAATTCCGCTGTATGATGGCGTGTAAGATGATGTAGTTTGACAATGGAGAAGGTATCGGCAGCGTCTCTGTCGAGTTGGTCTCTGGCGTGTTCTTTATAACGTGACAGAGAGCATCTTGGAACGACATCTGCTCCCGATGGCCAGGCCTTCGAGCAAGCCTCCATTTCTGTTCGTTCGGAGCAACCTTTGACCCTCTGCTTTGACAGAATTGCAAGCCTCGAATTCCATCTCAATGAGCATAGGTGGGAAGGTGATATATAATGTACCTACCGATGACGGAAGCAGTAAAACGCGCCGAGGAGCGTCACAAGACACCACGTGAGCGACTACATTAGCATGCACAAGCCCCCGACACTCCCGATATCTAAATCGAGGAAGAGGGAGGAGGGGCATGGCGGCGGCGAAGGCCAGGTGAGGGCCCGAGATGGGCAGCTGAGGGGAGGCGATTGGAGGGGCGGGTCACAGCACGCGCATCAACGAAGTTCAATTCCATTTCTCGATCTTAAACACGAAGGCAGGATGAGTGGTATTTGCGTCGTGTTGGAGGTCCAGAGTGCGTTGTTGAGGGTGTTCAGATTTTCTCGTGGATGTGGCTAAACTGGGCCAGCCGGTAGTCGCCTTTGACGCCATCGTCGTGATATCCCGATATTGTTGGTATCTGATGATAGTGAAGGGAGTGACAAGAAACCCATCGAGATTTGAGGCCTCCAAGGCCTTGCGTTGCGGCGTGATTTCAAAAAGTAGATTCCTGTGCAAGTTTGTGTTTTTAATCATTGTTGACTACGGGGACGCTCACGCCTTTTTGTTCAGTGAATCTTCTATTTTCTTGGGGAAGGAGCAGGCTGTTTATGGATTTCTCATAGAGGCAACAGCAGCCGTGTCAAAGAAACCAACTGTATGGGGTGATGGTACAGAATAAAGCTCTGAAGCGGAATGTATTCTTGCCTAAGACATGCTCATTTCTGATTGTTTTAATTTAACCAGATCCAGAAAGAGCATTCGATGGCGTGAATAAGGCGCTTGCCGCTCGAGCGCTTGGAAGTATACCTGAAATCTTCCAAGTGAACGGAAGTATTTCGAACAATTCTATGAGCGACACCAGGGACTTCCGTATCTGGAAGCGCCAAAGGACCACAATTGACACCAGACATCATACTTAATTACAGATATATGTTGGAAGAACATGCTGAGAGAAATCAAGCCCCTTGTATATTGACCTGACATTATTATGTATTCCAGCTTCCTCGTGTCCCGCACACCTCTTTATTCACTTCCCAGTGTAGCCTTCATCTTCCGACTCCATTCCTCCCGATTTATCCGTAGGAGGATCAACGGAATTCCACTTAACAGGCAGAAGATACAAGCGGCCGTAAATGACCACCCGGTTCCAATTGCATCGAAAAGCGGTTGAGCGATGACGGCACTAACACACGACAGGCTGTTTCGCAGCAGATTGTTTACCGCCACGCCAACGGTCGATCTCTTTGGGGTGAACTCGGTCAGCATGGTCATGTTCACGTTGGTAAGAATCATTCCACTGAAGCCATAAAAGAAATTTCCGATCAGCTATATGGTATTATTGTCAGTTGGAGTTATTCTTGACGCGCAATCTTGCCTAGGGTTTATTGCCGAACTCACCGGCACCAGCCAGAAGACTTGCTTCTCGGCCGTCCATCCCCACCATAAGAGCGCCCCGGGAAACAGAATGCCCGCGATCAGGCAATTCTCCCCCAGCCTATCTACTGGATGCAAAACCAGCTCTCCTGCCTCGTCATACCGACCCTCCTTCCGGGCGGTGCGTGCCATAATTGCATCCTGCCAGCGGCCACCGATTATTGCCCCGAACAACAACCCCAAACCCCCAGGGATGTAGGCGACCCCGACGATCACAGGGCCCCAGGAGTACGGGGCTACGGCAAAGGTATCCTCGATCGAGACGCAAATGAGGTAATAGGTAGCAAACACTATCGCCGTATAGTAGACCGTGATTAGGATAGGCGGGTACTGTAGGAGCTTGGCGGCCTCTACGGGCTTAAGGACAAAGTGAATGGCCTTCTTAGCGGGGCTCCTAGCACTGGCACGGTGCTCGCGCTGATTTTCTGCCAGATTTGTTGCTGTCTCCGGTAGAAAAATGACCATCACCATGAACACGACCCATCCATAAATGACGATGAACCACTGCGTGCTGCGCCAGCCCCAACGCATACTGAGAGCTCCCCCAATTATAGGGGCAAACATGGGGCCTAGCATGGGCCCAAGCATGAAGGCACCCATGGCCTTTCCGCGCTCGTGCGGCTCAAACATGTCGGAAATAGTGCCTGCACTGACGGATTGAAGGGACGCGCTTGACGCGCTGCCGAGAAGGCGCATGGCGATGAACATGCCAATATTGGGGCTGATGGCTGCTAGGATACAGAAAAGTCCGAGAAAGAAGAAAGACAGCAGATATACGAGACGGCGACCGTAAAGCTCAGCAAGGTAAGACCACCAGAGGGGGGTGATAGCGACGGCAAGGGAACCGAAGGCGATGGACAGGTTGACGACAGATTCGGTGGTATGCAGGTCGGCAGCGATTTCAAGCAAGCAGGCTGTTGCACAACCAACATGTAAGTTCGAAGTCTGTCTGAAGAGAGTAGTAGAGAGAAGGTACATACGGAACAAGACACCACTGCTCAACGGAACGACTAAACCACCGGCAGCAACGATGAAGGTCAAGAACCACTTTACTCCGGAGCTGTAGGACCGGGGATCCTGTAAGGACGGGACCACACACAACCACGGAAGGAACCCTATGCGCACCCGCCTGGTGGCATTAGGATCAATCTTTTCACGCTCAGGTCCCAGCCCTGTCTCAACGTTAGGCAGGGCAAATGTGTTGTCTGAGTCCGTTCGCTCGTGGTCTGTCCTGGTTGTCATGCTCATTGTTGCGTGAGATTCTGGGCAATTGCTTCGA